TCAGAGCATCAATACGATTTCTCCTCCTCCTAGAAGCTGTAGTAGAATGGAAGAATTTCGTATTCCGGTCACCATATTTCAACCAGCTAGCCCTAGACCGCTGAAACCAAGTAAGATCCTCCCGAATATAAATGAGATTCAACTGACGCCAAAGATCTTTCTGCAGAATTTCTAGAGCATGGCAAGGATGGTGACTAAGACTACGGTCAATACCCCTTAGTCTCGCCTGAAGATTATTCTTAAGCTTGGCATCTTCCCTAAAGCACTCCATATGCCAGTGAGAAGCATTCGAACGAAAAGTTTCACTAGTTGTGCCCCAACCTGTACTCCCATTCCAACACTCCTGCACTAGGCCAGGGAAATCCTCATGAGTGAGCCAGGCTGCCAGAAATCTAAATGGACGGCTCCCTCCAGGATGGTGAGGAGAAGGACCCTCCCAGAGAAGAAGAGGTCTATAATCCGAGCAGTAGCAGGGAAGATGAGTCACAACCCTGTCAGGAAAGGACAATTGCCACTGCTCATTCGCACAAACTCTATCAAGACGTTCCTTCAATCTGCCTCTATGCCAAGTGAAAGTAGGCCCCTGATGACCCAAGTCTTCCAGATTGCAGTTCATAATACAATTTTGGAAATCATAAATACTCCTCCAATCAGGCGGGACACCTCCCTCCTTTTCTGCTGCATGCAAATAAGAATTGAAATCTCCCAAAATGCACCAAGCCTCCGAGGATTGCTGTTGTAACCTTCCTAGAGCATCCCACAGAGACACCCTCTCAAGACGCCGCGGACTGGCATAAACAAAAGTAACAGCTTCCTCCTTCCTCCTATTACGCCAAAAATTTTTTAAATGGATAAACTGACGATGAGACTCTAAAATCTGAATCTGAGCTTCATCATCATTCCATAACACCCACAGGCCACCAGAAAAACCTTGAGGATGAGCCATAACATGCTTTTGAAAGCCAAAGCCTTTCACCACCTTCTGAGCACGGTCAGCTCCGATACGAGTTTCAAGCAAAGCCATAACTTGAATATTAAAACGACGAGACAAGTCCCTAATAAGGGGAGAAAAACCCTTTTTTCCAGCCCCCCTGCAATTCCAAACACACACACTCATCAAAAAACCACAAAAAATAATGAGAAAGGATGAAAAACACCCTGTCATTAGACTTTGGGGAGATCAAAACTATCCCGCATCACCGAGGGTACATCAGCAGGTCTCAAACTAGCATTCGAAGGCTCAACATCCTTCGAGCTGGAAAGAGTAACCGGACTCTTGTTGTCATGCGTTATTATGGAAATATCAACCCCATCCTCCCTTTTACCGGAATATGAGGGAGTTACCACATGTGGAGGAGATGATGTAGAAGAGAGAACAAGAGGCTTTCTGCCATTAATGCCCATTGCTGAAATTTTTTTTGCCGAGCTCGAAGCAATGAACGGCTTAGCCCTTTGCTTAAAACTCTTTGGGACAATAGATAAGGCAACTGCCTTTTTATTCCTGTTAATTTCATCACGTAACTCTTTCTTTTTTTTTCCATTTTGCGACAAAGTAGAAGACTTGGAAACGGTAGCCTCTTGTGGTCGAGACAAAATCCTTTCTTCTACCTGAGGAATAACAATACCTTTTTGAACAATTGGCATAAGCTCAGGGCCACTTAGATTTTGATTTGGCATAGAGGGTCCCACCAAATTTGTAACTGTATTTGAGCTAGGGAGAATAGCTGCTGAAAGATGACGTTTATCACTAGGAAAATTCGAAATCTTATTATTTAAACCCTTTTTCAAATCAGCACTAGCGGTTACCTTAGATGGGCCATGCTTATCATTAATGATTTGAATATTCTCATAATTAACATCATGATTATCATTAACTTCGTCAGAAATAACTGAAAATCTTGATCCAGCCGTTGAAGACGCCACCTTTGAAGCTCCAGAACCGTTATTTTTTGCATTAATCATTGTAGCCGATTTAATTCCCACATGATTATCGGGTTTCTGCTGCTTGATTTCAGCTGGACGTGAAACAGAATGATTTATTCCTTGAGCATTAATTCTCCTTTGGCCAGTTGTAACGGATGACCCCTGATTCCCGGCTGCATTGATTGCGGTAGCATTGATTGCGGCAGCATTGATTGCGGCAGTCTCCATGGTCGCTTTTGCCTTCCTTCCCCGTTGACTCCTTTGGACAATCATCCAAGAACCAAAAGCTTCACCTTCTGCCATCTCACGCCTGACACCATTGTTAACAACCTCTGCACGAACATCCTTTTGGTGAGAATGACTATCGGTTGACACCGAAACCGAAGAACAAGTGTCACGCCTATGCCCATACTTACCACATGCAAAGCAGATCATGTGAAGGCCTTCATACCCTACCGTATAAACCTTATTAATGAGATTGAATTTAGACAAGAAGCCTTTACTGAGATCTACTTCTACGCAAATACGCGCAAACTTGGCCCTTTCCGTAACAACCCCATCACCAGCATCACTTTTACGTATAGAGTTCCTATCAATCTTCAGTGTTTTCCCAAATAGATCACCTATGTTCCGCAAATGTTGGGAGGTATAGAACTCCATAGGTAACCCCGGAATACGGATCCAAACAGCTAATTTTTTAAGGTTGTCCTCGTAAGGATCAAATAATGGCCGCCACCGTTGAACAGAAACATAATGGTCTGCCACAATCCAAGGCCCTTCCTCCAAAACAAAGTTGTAGTCATTCAAATCCGCAAAACGAAACAAAAAGTAATCGTTCTCCATATCAATGAACTCATGTGTCCCCGACAAATTCCACATCTTCAAGAGTCTGTTCAGCAGAAACTTTACACCAACCTTTTTTGCCAAGAGCTTGATAATCACAGCTTGCTTCCAAGGCCTGCAACTCTCCTTATATAGCTCTTTTGAAAATCTGTATGTAGGACAGAAAGGATCATCTTGGTCATTTGATTGAACATCCTCCTCCATACCATGAACATCCAACTCCTCAAACCAATCCCTTTCCTCGACGTCATCCGTAACTTTCAGCCCATTCAATTGTAAGAGTGTATCCTTATAAGATATCGGTTTCTTCCCTAACACTTCTTTAGCTTTGTCAGTACTACGCTTCAAGAGATCAACCTCCTCAGCGGATGGTTCACCAATCGCCGAGATCTCCATTAAACTTCTTCTTGTTCTTTTTAGTAGAAGGGTAATTTAAACTTTTTTTAAACAAGTCGTTAAGGGAGAGGTTTTTATTTAAAGAAACTTTTGACTTAAGTAGTACCTAGATCAGCAAGCACCATACATTAAATTATAAAAATGTCATGCACAACAAATGATAAAAAAATGTCATCCATTAATTAAAAGTCTGTATATATATCACAACGGGTATTTTCGTTCATTAAATTAAAATTGTAATATTCAATATTTAACCAAAATTAAACTTTTATAAATAACTATACAGTCTCGCTATATTGGTACAAACACAAAAGTTATGTTAACTTTATAACTACCCTTTAAATTATTTTATGCTTTTTGGCTTTGCCTTCTATCGAAATCTGGAGGAGAATCCTGTTCAACCATAAATATCTGATAAATATGCGATACCTAAAACTCTGCTTGCATGCGACGCGCGAATTTTAACGTACCTAGATTTGCTTTTGTCGATGGAGAAAGAAAGAATACATTTATATTCTTTTATCTGATTGTCTATATATTTTTGTAATTACAAAAATAAAATAAATATTAAGTATTTTTATTCTATCAAGATATTAAATATTGAGCGAACATAATATTACTTAAGTTACTTGGCTAAGTAATTACGATCAAAAAGAAATATTAATTAGAATAATAAATAATAATTAAAATTATGAATAAGATAATAATAATTATTTTGTAAATAATTCTTATTTGTTTATTAAATTTTTGAAATCCTTTAAATTTAAAAATATTAAATTTATTGTTAGTAATTATAATTTGATAATTACTTTTTCTTTTATTAGAAAATTTTAAATATTTGATATTATTTAAGTTGGAAGAATAATACTCACAATCCTTAATATAGACGGTTATTTTATTTTCAACCCATATTCGGGTGTGAGAAATTAAAAGAAGTTCAAAGTTTAAGAGGCAAAATTTTGGTCACTGAAAACTCTTGAACTTTATTAAATATTTAAATTTCTTGAGAAATATAAAAATAAAAAGAAAAATCAGTTATAAAATTATTATTATGGTCAACAAATTTGATATTTATAAATTTGATAATTCATTTTTTATTTCAAAAGATGCAAATAAGAATTATTTATGGTGTTAACCCAATAATTTTAATATTAATGTGAAAATAATAATAATAATTACATTATTTACAATCCTAATTATTAATTATATTTATTTTGTTAATTAATATTTATAATCTCATCGTTAAATGATAAATATTTACGTTGGACCCAGCGTGTTGTTTACCAAATGTTGTCTGTCACATGACACTGCTACAGTCACGGTAAGCCTCCGCTAACGTGATCCAATTTCACCACTTGGATAAATAAGTTTGTGACTTTACAAATTTGTAATATTTTTATTTTAAACACCGATCATAGTTATCAGTCACATGACACTGCTACATGGATAAAATAAATATTTTTTTGTGATTTAAACTTCAAAATGAATTTGGAAAATCTATATTAATAAAAGAAATTTATTATTATATTCATATATCTTACGATTCATGATAGACGATAAAAAAATCGGCAAAATATAAACAGTACATATTGCAATCCAAAAATCACGATGCCGATCATTATACAAAATTTACATACATAATGAATTTTTAATAAATTAAACAAAATCTTATAAATTAAATTACTGCAAATTCCTTTAAAAATGTAAAACTATTATTTTCCCAAGATTTATAGGGTTTCACCGATTCAAAAAATAAAGTGAGGGAAATAAAAATAAAAATAAAAAATGCATACGTATATAAGAGCGTGATAGAAGGCGGCAGAGGCGCAATCCAGTCACGGAAAAGAACTGAAGAACAACGGCAATGGACGTCGTAGTAGAGATTCTCTCCGGTGCGCACTTCTCCGGTTGGCATCCTTCAACGACGTCGTCTTTTTCTCCAACTCCCTCCCATCACCCCTTCGTAATTGGTATACATAAATATATAAACACTCATCCTCTTTCTTCTTACAATTTTTTTTTTTTTTTTTCCCAATCTTTTTGGTTCACTGGAAAATTGAAAAGAATACTCCACTTTCTCAGAAACCAACAGTATTGAAACTTTTTCGTATACTCTGATTGAATGAACATCTCGCTTCATCATACATACTCTCAAAATTAAATACATGCTTCAGCTCACTCTTTTTTTTCTTGATCTTTGCATTCTCACACGGGTGGTTGATCGTTCAGTTGGAAAAAGCAAATCCAAACCATAATTAGAATAATTTTCTTTCATTTTCTCGTCGGAGAGAAAGTGAATGGGCGTGTGCTGTTTGTGTGTGCTTCGATTTGATTTTATTTGCGTTTTGTCGGTGGATCAGGGGTCGCTGGAGGTACGGCATCGGGGAAGACCACAGTGTGTGACATGATCGTTCAACAATTGCAAGATCACAGAGTTGTGCTCGTTAATCAGGTCATTGCGATTTTCTAGTTGTAATCTTCTGGCGGTATTGGATCATAAGGGAATCATGAACGAAATCATTTAATTTCTTCTTTGTAATTTTGACCGAGTGGTATTATGCTTAATCTAATAGCGTAGAGAAATGAATTCACATTAATTACTTGTCACTTGACTGATTATCTGTTGTTGTAGGATTCATTCTACCGTGGTTTGACAAACGAGGAGTTGAAACATGTTCATGAGTATAATTTTGATCATCCTGGTATGGTAACTCGAACCTTAAGCTTATTAGGCACAACCATTGGCACTCATGTGTTGTTGATTAAATCTTTTGGGATTCCGACAATGTGTTTTGGTTTTTGTAGATGCATTTGATACAGAGCAACTTTTTGAAACCCTCAGCAAGCTCAAATCTGGACAGTCAGTTCAGGTTCCTATATATGATTTTAAACTCCATCAGAGATCCCCTGACAGATCCCGACAGGTTCTCTTCTGACACATTAAGCTAAAGTGGGATCTTAGTATAAGTTGTTCTTAGACTTGTGGAGCCCACATTGAATCTTTTCATTTATGCCATTAATGATATAATCTGCAGTTACAGAGCTCTTAGACAGCCAACAGTTGATATCATATTCATACCCTTTACATACTTGTCTGTGTATCTATCTCAGCATACCTGAAATTGTGCAATATTCTTATAAAATAAAAAATTAGGCAGATGCTTATTATTATTATTATTTACCATTTGGCAGGTCAATGCATCTGAAGTAATCATTTTAGAGGGTATATTGGTTTTTCATGAACAACGTGTCCGCAACATGATGGATGTGAAGATCTTTGTTGATGCAGGTCTTTGCTCTTACATTTTCTCTATCGTTTCTAGCTTTTTTTCCATCTACTACAGGTTAAATGAGTTAAAATGTACTGAATGTTGTTTATCATTGGGGAAAAGGTGGTTTGGAGTCAAGGTATAAAATGGTACATACTGCACTTAGCTGGGTCTAGCATAAATCGTTGTGCTTTGCCTTGTTTGGACTTCTGTGTATTAGGTGAGATCAATGGAGAGCAACTATCAAACCCCCCCTACAGAAAAAGGTTGCACTGTTGCAGTTGCTTCTGAGTAGTAAATCAATCAACCTTCGTTTTGGAAGATTCCACTGTCTCGGCTGAACTCTGATGCTGAGAGGACAATGACAGAATTAGAATTCTCTTCCCAGGTTGTGTTTACACTTTTACATGACACAGAAGCAGAGAAAATGAATCAACAAGTGACCGCTGGATTTATACAAAATTTTGCGATCACTAGAGTTGATAACCTGGTCGTAAACCTAGGACTGTAGTATAGAGGTTCAGCCTTTTAACATTTTGTTCACTGATTAAAAAGTATGCTAGACATGCTTTTTGATTATTTGAGGAAATGTAAATTGCTTTCTTCTAGTTTCCTGAACCTCTCTGGGAGTTGTTAAGGACAAACCAACATGTTAATCTTCTAACCTTCATCCATATTGGAAGGGTACCCGACATAACTATGATGAGTGGCATTGGCAAATCATGTGCTCTAGTATGGTAAGAAGAATTTGCTCCATCTGCTGCTTGTTCATCCAAAGTCCTTGATCCTCTATGGCAGATTCTCTTCATCAGTAAATATTTTTGAGATGATACATGGCAACAATTTTCTGTGATAATGATCTCTCTATTGGAAGAGTTGGTGGTTTTTATATTTTCTTATACTTGTCGTCATACTGATATTGCTTTACATGTTACGTAGATCCGGATGTAAGGCTTGCTCGCAGAATTAGACGTGATACTGTTGAGAGGGGTAGAGACGTACACTCTGTACTGGAACAGGCAAGACTTGCAATCTTTATATATATTAAAGTGATTAGACTGGAAGATGTCAGGAACTCAGGAATCAGGATTACAATTAAAATATAATTTATTTATATTGATATCTTACAATTGATAAAATGATAAAAAAAAGAAGAAGAGATTTTTTCATTTAGAAAGACAATAAAAAAAATGCCCCCTTTGCCAATTCCAAAGAATAATTCTGTAGGGAGAAACCAGTTTCCGATTCAATGATTCAGTCCCATTAATTGTAAAGGACATATGCTTTAAGCCAAAATCGATTGTTATATAGTATGCAAACAACTTATGCCTGGAACTCTTGGATTGTGGTATTACCTTTTTTCACAGCTGTTGAAAAGGAAAATTTACAAGAATCCAATAAAAGCATCAGATGTTTTATCTTCTTTTTCAAAAAGAAAAAAAAAATCTTTCTTTTTGTTTCGGCAGAAATATAATATTTTGCTGTCATATATTTGGGGTACTATTTCCATGCTTAAGGATGACAGAAGGCTAGAAAATAATATATTAATGTATTATTTTTTGTTGGAGGGCATTAATTATGAATTTAAGAGATTGAATCTCATTGGTGCTATGATACCATCATAGGCTTCATGAAACACTTTGCTGATGCTCTGAATTTGGTTTGGCTTTGTTTAACACTTGTTTCTGATTGTCGACCAAAACATGAAATTCGGTGGCTGATATGGAAAATCTCTTTTGAATTTTCAGTATTCAAAATTTGTTAAACCTGCCTTCGACGATTTTATTCTTCCATCCAAAAAATATGCCGACATCATAATACCACGTGGGGGAGAGAATCACGTAGCTATTGATTTGATTGTTCAACATATCCGCACTAAGCTTGGCCAACATAACCTCTGCAAGATATATCCAAATTTGAATGTTATACAGTCTACCTTCCAGGTGATTTTCAGCTTGCTTCATCTTTGCGTCTTAAATTTTCTGTTTGCTTCATTAACCCAAGGAAATGCTTCTCATGCTAGCTTCTAATGTTGAATTTCAGACTAGAGGCATGCACACTCTTATTCGTGACAGGGAAATATCAAAGCATGACTTTGTTTTTTATTCAGATCGGCTACTTCGTTTGGTAGGTTACTTTGAACTTTATACATGATTTATAAGTCCGATTAACTAATTAATCTTAGTATAACTGACTTCACAGGTAGTGGAACATGGTCTTGGTTACTTGCCATTTACAGAGAAACAAGTTATCACACCCACAGGTCTGTCTAAGAAAGAGGAAATACCAATCTATTGTTTGAATCTGTCAGCAAGTGTTTCATTTATTCATCATGAAAGAGTGTGTAGTTAACTTTGTTTGAATGGTGCTGCAACGCTTTGCTGCCTTCATTACCTCTAAACATTTTCATGCATTTGATACACACACATTCCGTGAAATTCTTCTTGTTATTACATTTCAGGATCAATTTATGGTGGAGTTGATTTTTGTAAGAAATTGTGCGGAGTATCTGTTATTCGAAGGTAACTTTTCTAGTTCAAAATGTTTATGTTACTATCATTCTCTATAGTTCAAAAGATTTATTGTCCATACTTCATTGTTGATCATTTTTAAGATTGATGATGCATTAAATGTTCTTAATCTCATCGAAAAATTGAGAAAAAACTTGTTGCCAGTTGTAATTTCAAGATACCATTGTCAACTATTAAGGTTTTAATTTCAACTCCAACCTAACCTAGTTTCATCTGATAACAAATTTATTCTGTCCGAAACCAATTTCATATAGGATACATTATTAAATATTTAACCCCTAATCTGAGGTGTGAAATGCGCGTTTATTGACTTGTTGGGATTTTGATGCTGGATTGTTTGAGTTTTCATCAATTAAGGTTTTTTTTTTTTTAAGAATGCTGTAATTTTGTAACTATAAGTTGGTTTCCCTTATAATGTTTCAGTGGCGAAAGCATGGAAAATGCTTTGCGTGCATGCTGTAAAGGGATAAAAATTGGAAAAATTCTCATCCATCATGAAGGTGATGAAACCCAGGTAATAATTTTTCCTCTTGACTCTGATTTCTTTCTTGAGTTATGTTTGAGATGATACAACTCTGAAAATGTTGTTGGAAGATTAGAAGATAATATAGGAAAATATGATAAGTTGGTTGATAGGGTTGTGATATCTTATCCTAAATCAAATGTAGTTAGTATTGAGAAAGACACAATTCAGAATTATATTTGTTATTAAACTCTTTGTATCAAATTCTATTTAAAGGTAAATGGAACTCCACTTAGCATAATAAGAAAGGGGGAGTTTTTTTTTAGTGAGGAAGTAGGTCACTTGACCGAACCTCCAAAATTATTGTGCTCTGTGCGTGCACTGGACGTGCTCTTTTATTTTTCCAGTTTATTAACAAATGTAATAATCACAATGGTTTTTTTTTTTTTTTTTACTCCATCAAGCTTATTTATGAGAAGCTTCCAAAAGATATTGCAGATAGACATGTTCTTCTCATGGATCCAGTACTTGGTACAGGTGGGTTATTATCTTTTCGCATGCATCATATTAGTTCTTCATTTGTACATTGATCTTCTCAATGCTCCCCATTTCCAAAATTTCACAATAGGATTTGTTAGTAGTCTCAACTGTGTTGTACAACCAAATAATTCGGGGCTACTAGTTGCGAAATACTACATTACAGCAAAGATGAGAAAAGACTGACATCTTCAAACCAAATCATAAAACAAAATTTAGTTTCACATTAGACCATTGTTAAGTTATGAAGTTGCGGTCCACCACATTCTTTATTTACCTTTATACTGTTTTTAATGCATTACACCACTATTCTTTCGGAAGGTAATGAGCACCTTATTGATTTATCCAGGTAACTCTGCTAGCCAAGCAATTGACCTTCTGATAAAGAAGGGAGTTCCAGATTCTCGGATAATATTCCTCAACCTCATATCTGTAAGTTATATTCAATAGAATACTACTAAGAGCGGCTTTATCCTTTGTCCAAGTTTGATTAATGCCAACATGAAAATTTTCAAAACCGATTTCAGGCTCCTGAGGGAATACACTGTGTATGTAAACGTTTTCCGCACCTGAAAATTGTCACTTCGGAGATTGAAGAGGGACTAAATGACCAGTTCCGTGTCATACCAGGGTTAGGAGAATTTGGTGACCGCTATTTTGGTACAGACGACTCTTAGTATGAAAGCAGAACATGAGTTTCACGAGGGAAAAATATAGATTAAAAGATGTTAGAAATTGTTACTAGGTGTAATATTGATCTCACTGGTACACATGCCTAAAATCATGAGTAACTACACCCCAAGGAATGAGAAGTTTGGCTTAATTATCCAATCCAAGCTTGATCAGAATCGGATATTACTTTATATTATTTTACTATCATCCACATTAGGTGGAAAATAGAGAGACGAGGTGCAGAATGGCTACACAAGATTCATCTCAACGTTCGTTATTATAAAGAATCATTTTAACCCAAAATTTTAAGGTATTGGGTAAGAGCCTTTTTAATGATTTATATTATGCTTTAACACACTCCCTCAGCACTTGAAATATGGATATTGTATAAGTCTAATTTTTTTTTTTTTTTTTTTTTTTACTTTATGCTTATTTAATTCCACAAGTGGGGGGCGGTGAGGATCGAACTCGTGACCTTATAGTCACTAAAACTCTAATATCATATAAAGAACCACTTTAATCCAAAATCTTAAGACGTTGGGTGAGAGCCTTTTTAATGATTTATATTATGCTGTAACATTGTCAGTAATTTTAAAGTGTTAGGTTTAACAATAATATTGAAAAAAAAAAAAAAAGTGAAGTTTAAAGCATAAATAAATTGGAACCAAATCCAAAGTTTTGTAAAACATTTGAAACTTATAAAAGATTTTAGCCTTTTATCTTGTGATGTTGGAACCTACTGAAGCGAGAGAAAGATATACTGCGATGTTTGGAAATCACCATTCACAATTTGGTTCTCCGCTGCCTAAAACTAAATTGACCTTTAAATTTTTGGAAACGTTGACCCATGTGCCACTTTTTTGAAAAAAAAATTGCCACAATATCACTTATAAATTTTGTCAAACTGTCACGGCTCCAAATTCGCTTGCAGTTGTAGCGAGTACGGTTTGCCACGTGACATGTTTTCGGAGGCCATTAATATCACTGTAAGTGGCTACAGGTTTAGACAATGACTTTTGTGACCTATTTTTTTGTGACATATAGCACACTTTTTTAAAATTTAATGTAAAACTTCGAAAGACCATAATTTTTTGTTCGGGTGTCTGAATTAAGTTGTTTTTTTTATTCTATGTAACTTTTCAAGATCTAAGCGCTAGCAAATTCTTTGGTCAAATTTTTTTTAAAAGAAATGCTTCTTTGCACCCTATTTGATATATTTTATCTTTGCAAATGATATTATTTAATTCATATTCTTATTTTCACTTTTCAATACTAAAAAATAATCCTTCCAGTAGATCTTCAAAAATTACATGGAATAAAAAAATTATCCAATTTAGACACCTGAACCAAAAGTTATGACTTTTCAAAAATGAGTTAACTTGTTCTACCACGTGACAGTCTATACTCGATGTCATGCCAATGAGTTTGTCTTGTTCTGCCACGTGACAATTAAGCGAGTTTGAAACTATTGGTCAATTTTTTTCAGAAAGGTGGCACATTGGTCAATTTCCCAAATTTTGTCATTACAATGTCCTTTCCAAATACTATCTGACAGGAGAGATCGTTATATATACTGGATATAATCAACGTATCAAATTTCACTTAATTTATTCTGTCACTTGGTGAATTACATTAAGCGTTGTTACCCAAAAATAAACAAACATTAAAGGTATACAAGAGTATATATCGATCTGCCAGACCACAAAAAATAGAAAGAAAAAAGTTGGTCGTAAGTTTGCACACGCAATTTAAAAGAATGGTGATAAGAAATAAGCCACAAGGAACTAACACAGATCTCCTATCATAGGGATGACTAAAAAGATAAAAGACTTATACCAAAAAAAAAAAAAAAGAAGATGACAGCAACTACGAGCAAAATATTTTTTTTCCTTTCTATGATCACCTGTGATTATTGTATAAAGCCAACTAATTTGTGCATTATGGATTTCATAATTAAGTTACAGAAGAAATTCTTGCCCAAGGAAGAAAGCAATCTACAGGCGAGTGACTCCACAGGTGCAAAATCTTACTGATTAATTGTGTTTTTCCTATCAGCAGGAGCCACACACTGCCATAATGAACGGTAGGATGCAATATTGACTGCTTCAACACCTAGCGCAGAGAGGTTACGGGCATACTCCTGGTGAGAATATGCAAGACAAAGGTTATCTAGATAAAACCAGTCATAGTTTACGGGACAATGACACAAATTCAGAAGTCATGACATCCATGTGTATCGTGTCGCAAGTGCAATAGTGAGAAAGATTATACTGGGAATAATGAGTATCATACCAACCTGAATATCAAGGAACAACTGCATACAGATTTTGTCAGTGTCAGATACATTATTATCTGAGACATCTGAACTTGCTCCAGCTCGTCTTTGTGCACTCTGCCTAATTTTCTGGAGCGAGGACTCTGTTTTTCTTGCCTGCTCATGATCAAAATTAATTAGAATATTTTCACAGATAGAATGCAAGAGATCCAAAAATTTCATCAATGCAATCTGGATTTGGACACTTACCACGCTAACAAGGTCAGCTGCTAATTCATAATAACGGTCAGTAATCTCAGATGCAGCACAAAAGATTATTTCATTCCTTGTTTCACTTGCCAAATATCTTGTAGCTCTCTCCCCATCCAAAAAAGCCTGGAATGTGTTGGCATAACATCAATATACACTCTAACTGAAAACAAAAAAATTTCTTACAAATTATACATAACCCTAAAATATTGATAGGTCCATACTTCATCTTTAACCTTTTGGTTTTCTTTTTCTAAAAGGGGGATAAGATGTTGCCTTTGCATTTTCTCTAGTGTACGTAGATTGTAGACAACAAAAGAGTGTTTAAAATCGGGCACATGAATCATAAATACTATCCACTATATTAGATAAGATTCAATTTGCATGAGCGTGGTTTCACTAGTCTCCAAAGAAAAAGCTAAGCACAAAAGCAGTAATTCCTTTTTTTTTCCTTTTGGCGGAAAAACTGGAGCCAAAGGCCCACAGAAGCAGTGATACCAACACGAACATGGAATAATCCCACTGTACTTCCAACAGTTAATAACTTCATACAAAAGTGTTCCTAAAAGTGGCCTACATAAAAATAGTTGTCTAATTCCTACAAAAGTTAGGATCTAACTTAAGATTGCAGATAATTAAAAGATAGTGTTCATTTTATGAACCACAAGTAATATTTCCTTTTTCTGACAACTGGAACTAGTAATAACTGAACGTGTCTTGCATTACACAATGAAATGTTTAAAGGACATAATATTAGACATGCTAAATTTTAAAGCTTGCCCTACGATCATGCTATCAGACTCAAATCCTACAGAAATATATCGCCATTGTATTGTCTTGAAATCAAGCTAACCACAAAAAGAAGGAAGCTGGATTAAAAACAAAAAAAAACCATTATACTTAATTGATACTACATACCTTAAGGGGACGTAATACCCCAGAAACATATGGTGAATGCCTCACAGGTAGAGGTTTATTAGTCATCCTGTAGGTTGCCGTTATCCCCTTCATCTGTCTTAAGTCCTAAAATATTTTTTAAAAATAAAGAAATGAATAAATTGAAAAGGAAAGGGAGAAGAAATAGATCTTCTAGAAAATTGCAAATAAATATACACCCAGATCTGAATAATGAAACCAATTTAAAGAATAAACCTGGCAGACTACAACCTACCTCAACTGATTTTTCCACTAGTGACTCCACTACTGCTTTGCTGACTAAAGGTTCTAAAGATTTCAATGATTGACCACTCTGTAAAATGCTCTGCCTTATAGATTGAAGAACATCAGGGGAGCATGAAGATAAAAGCTGAAGCACGTGTTGTAGGTAATCACCACAAACCTGCTCCTCCAAACATCTTATATCGTGAATAACCTACAAATGATTTAACATCTGTTATAATTCAGGTAAAGTACAATTATATCTTCATTTTGCATATCTGGCAAATATTGCAAGCAACACCAATGTTGTCTCATCATGGTCATTAACAAATTTTATTTTACCAATTCCTTACATGGAACTTCAGAAAAAGTCTGGTAGATGACCTAAACAATTTTTTTGGGCAGACATATAGGTATATTAGATTTGAAGCAGTGAATCTCCAACTTTTACTTCAACGTACAGCATGTGGGTTAAGTGAAGGAATGATGCAAACAAAAATAAAGTGAAGACATGATGCATACAAAAATGAAGTCATCTATGACAGCTGAAACAGCCCATTCACAACCAGTGCTGGTGCTTGTGTTGTGATTCTTGCGAGCAGTCAGTCCAGATGACAGCCAACTTGAGTATCTGAAAGTTCAAAGAGAAGTTGGTTTTTGTTCAGTCAGCACAAAAAAACAAATTCTTAACATCCCAGCTCAAACTGACCTAGAAAGAAGCTGCAAGGATAGGCGAAGGAACTTGTCAGAGCAAGAAAGGACAAGAACATCTTCTTTCCAGCATGATCTCAAACTCTCCAACAAAGTAAAACTTTGTTTTAATGTTAAATCTTGATAATTTGCTTCACCAGGGTCTGAATTTTGAACAGGGGCAAGACTGGATGTTGTTAGCACAGAATCTAGAGACCCTGCTATTTCCTGAAACCTGAGAAGAATGCAGATATGATTTCCATGTCATTGAACAATGATACAAGCATTCTTCTAAATTTATGACCGTTTGAAGCAGCATAAGCACCTCAAAGAGAAATACACCCCAATATTCCATTGCTTGATGAACTCCGTATAAATTGCTTCAGATCGAAATTTAGCAACAGCAGATCTGGACGGACAGAAGCCTTGCATGAAATTAAATGTTATAATATTAGTAAATATATACTCTTAAAGACAAGTGTCTATAAAATTAGCAAATGCACTATCAAATCATATATTAAATCAAAAAAGTTCTTAGAAACCTGAATGTCATATTTTATTTCTCAAGGTGAAAAGTAAGAAATGATGAAGGAAGATATGACTACTACCTTCTAGATAAGCCAAGAATTCTAAGCTTGATTTGTAATTTTTCAAGAACTCTGTTGGTCTTCCAGGAGAAAATGCACCTGGTTTTCCCTTCTGAATAGCAGAGAGAACCTCTTTAAGGATTGAATTGGCTAAGAAGTCAAAGACATGCAAACCTGAATTTTCTGCACCAAAGACCAAGCTTCAGATATGGTATTATAACGGTCTTATTTTTCGCACTGTCTTTTTGATATGTAAGCATGACAGATATTTCAGTAAAACCATGCCATGACCTTAAATGGCCTAGCTAACAGTAGATGTCAAAAAGAAGTGAAAGGAGATTA